GCCTGTCTTCCTACTTCCTGGTTCTGATCCCCTATCATCTCCAGCTGTACTTCCTGCCCTTGGGCTCCATGAAATAGCTTCATTCCTTTCCAGCCAGTTTCCTTTTTGTGTTTAAGCCAGTTTCAGTGGGTGTCTGTTTCTCACAACCAAATGTTCCATTGCTGAAACCTGTGACAAGCATTCAGCAAACCTTTATTGATGTTCAGCCACATCCAGCACTCTGAATTCCCTACCATAGGGCATATAGAGGGAAGAGGACACAGTCTTGCCACTTCACAAGTCCACAGTGTCAGGAACCAAATCCACTTCATTGCTACGTCAGCAGTATGACTAAACTTGACCTTTCAAATGAATTTACATCAGATAAAAAAAAAAGTACCTATTTGAAAAGTGAATTTCCTTGGCTCTGACAGTCATTGACTACTTCTTCCCTAGTAGTTATGCAATAGCTGTGGACCTGGTTCAAGTTAAAACATCTGGAGAAGTTAGCTGCTTCTTTCTGGGGCCTTAAAATAGTGTGACAGCATGACCAGAAGTTAAGCTTGTTCATTGCTCCTTTGTGCTTTGTGTATATCTCTCTGTGATATTGTGTTTTATTTTACATTTTAGTTATTAAATATTTGTTTCTCTCCAGTGTGTGTTTTGTAAGAATAGGTATCATATTCTTTCAATTCTTCATGTCACTAAAATGTTGGCTCCATCAGTCAGGGACTTTTTTCTTGTTTTATTTTGTCTTATTCACTGTGATATCCCCAGTACCTAGAATAGCGCCTTGGTACAAAACAGGGAGCTCCATAACTACCTGTTGAATGTATCATTGCATTGATTCCTTTGTGGCTAAATGTTGGCTAACATGGATGATAATCAGCTATAATATTATAGAGCATTCTTATAATTCAGTTATTCACTTCTCAAGTCCTTGCAGTTTTGAGATTATAAAAATAGTCATGGTGTAACTGTAGTAACTGATAAAGTGACCCTTTATAAAATTAGCTTTCACTCAAACATCCCTCCCTGTTAGCTTCTGTATCTATTCCTGACCACTCTGCCCATATGCTTTTGGGGCAGATATCCAACAATACAGTTCAAAGTGACATTGCAAGCCTTGTACAAACTGCAGGACTTTGTGATGTTGAAAGTGACAGTGAAAGAGCTAGAAGTGGTAATTACATGGATAACTGGAAATGACTTTTTTTCTTATTTAAATATCTTTAAAAGATAATTGCCTGTTTATGCAAAAGTAATAACAATGTATGCAAGGTTTACAAAATGTACAAATAAAAAGTTTGTAACATATGTAAAAATAAAAAGTATGACAATAATAGCACAAAGGCTAGAAGGGAAGAAATGGAAGTATGTTACTGTCAAGTTTTGTTTGTTTGTTTTTTTTAAATTAAGATAGAGTCTTACTCCGTCTCCGTCACTGTCACCGAGGCTGGAGTGCAGTGGCAAGATCTCAGCTCACTGTAGCCTCCACCTTGCAGGTTAAAGTGATTCTCATGTCTCAACCTCCTGTGTAGCTGGGATTACAGGTGCCCGCCACCATACCTGGCTAATTTTTGTATTTTTAATAGAGATGGGGTTTCATCATGTTGGCCAGACTAGTTATGAAATCCTGATCTCAAGTGATCTGCCCACTTCAGCTTCCCAAAGTGCTGGGATTACAGGCATGACCTACTACACCCTACCTAATGTTCTTATGTAACATGTGAAGTGATACAGTATTACTTGCAGGTAGACTGATAAGTTAAATACTTACCTTAAAATCAAAAAGCAGCCTCTAAAACAACGTAACAAAGAGTTTTGGCTGACAAGCGAACAAAGGAATTAAAATGGAATAAACACATTCAGTTATCACAAATACTCAATCCAAAAAATAAAAAAGGCAATGAAAGAGGAGAAAAGGGAGCAAAGAACAGATGGGATGAATTTTAAAAATTAGCAAAATGAGAGATTAAACCCAACCTTATCAATAATAACAGTAAATATAAATCATCTAAACACCCCAATTAAAAACAAGACCAACTATAATCTGTCTACAGAAACCCTGCAGAAAAGGCATCTCTTAAATATATAAAGACACAAGCGAAAAGATGGGAGAAATCCTGCATGCTAACACTAATCGAAAGAAAGCTGGAGTGGCCATGTCACTCTCAACGTGGATTTCAGAGCAAAGGTGATAGTAACCAGGGACACAGAGGGACTTTGCCTGTGATAAAGAATCAACTCATCAAGAGGACATAACAATCCTAAATGTTTTTGCAGCTAAAAATGATGTTGAAGGCCTGTGCAAGTGATAGCCCCACTGACAAGTGAGGATCTGACCAAGTGCGACATTTTGTAATTGAAGTAGAGGAAACTGAAAAAGATAATGATACAACAGGCTTTCAGGAGAGAAAGATTTGACCATTAAATTGATGGAACCCTGGAATTTTTTTTTCCCCCAAAACTCAGAATGGCTCTGTGCAACTCAACCTTGTGGCGAAGGGCATTTTATTGCATAAAGTTCTGTTGGAAAAATGATGCCAGCAAAACCAATACTTGATTAATAATGAAAAATGTGTTTATAGATAAACTCCATGTGTGCTTAGAGTGAGCTGTGGTTAAATAGCTTCCACGCTTGGCAGCACCCAGGGTGAGTTTGATGGTGTACGTCACTCACTGAGCTCATAGTTATTTTATGCACTTACCAATGCAGCCGCTCATCCTGCACTTTTCTAGCTAAATTCCAGCGCAACTTCATGACATACCAAGTGGCTTTGGACCAAGCTGTTTAACCACTCGGTGCTTCTGTTTCTTTTCCGGGAGAGGCGTAAAATGGTGCTCCTCCCAAGATGGAAGTGAATGCTCAGTGAGAGGAGACACGTGCGTCTCTGAAGACACAGAAGCTCTATGCAAATAGCAGTTTTTATTTCTCTTTACTGTTGGGATGTCTCAAAACAAATGCAAACAAATGCAGTGCAAAATGTTTGAAGGAAGCCCATGTTAAGACCAGACACCTTGGAGAGCCTGTCTCCTATCTGATCTGTAGAGGCGTTGGCACTTTCTGCATCATAGTTTTCTCTTCTGAGTCAGAATGGAAAAAAGTTACCCAAATACATGCCAGGGGAATGTGTTGTGGAACCTTTTGTGATCTGCTTATCCCCCAAGTTGATCATGATTCTGAAGAGAGTACACTGTTTCAGATGCAAAGCAACAGTTAGCTTGAAAAGGCTCTGCTTTTGTTTATGATTGCTTACTTAGCCTACTGACAGTTTGAAAGTCTGGCAAAGCAGCCCAGATGTATTATTTTCTTCCAGTTCTCTATATTTATTTAGTGCTGAATGATCCTTTGTAGTAAGATCCTAAACTCAAAGCATTTACAGTTTAAAGACAAAGTAGGAGGCAAGAAAATAGAGAGATAGGAAGACACTGCCAAGAGAAGGAAAGCAAAAAGCTTGGTCTGTTCGAGATAATAGGAAGTTATAGGAAATAGGACTAGATTTACAGATGAGAAATAAAGGGGAAATTAGCATTATTGGTAGATTAAATATGTTTTATACCACAGCGGGAACTATAGACTGCGTAGAAATACAGGAATGGTCCATCTTCAGCGCTTTGTGTGGCTGGTCTCCTTTCATCTGCCCCACAGTCCTATGCAGTAGGTAATGTTGTCTTCAACTTGACAGAAAGGCAAAGATGCTCAGAGCTGTTAATCAGCTTCCCTAAGTCCTTCAGCTAACAAGTGCTGGGGCTGGATTTGAACTCAAACAGCCACAGATTGTCTTGTCTCCACACATTTATTTCTCGGTGAATGAATTGGAATTGGACCAGGGCATTAACCAGCCTAATGCAGAAAGTTATTATTTTCTTGGGTAACTCTTTGAGGGGGAGGAAATAGTTTTGTGGATGGGAATGATAAAAAGAAAGTATTTGTGAGGAAAGAAGAATCAATGACATGCTAAGTACAGAAAAGCTTATCTGAATGATAGAAAAGCATAAGCTCCTGTAGACCACTGGCCCTAATCTCGAGTGGACGTCACCAGAGTTGCTGGTGCCTGACAGTCTGCATTTCTAATAAGTCGCCGTGTGGTATTGATGCAACCAGTCTGCAAACCACCCTGGAGAAAGGCGGTGACATGGCCAGTGTGCAAAAGAGGAATTAATCTGGGTAGCAGCATTCAAGGTGCTGGAGAAGAGTGGAAAATCGGCATTTTCGACAAGTGTGGGATATGGAAGCACATGTTTTAGAACTGTGTAAAATAAAGCACTGTGGCTAACAGAGGCTATAGGAGAATGGGGGTGACGAAGGATGTAAAATACAGGTTGAGCATCCCTATTCCAAAAATCCAAAATGCTTTGAAACTTTTGAAGCACTGACATGATGCTACATGTGGAAAATTTCACACCTAACTTCATGTGATGGGTTTGTAGCCAAAACACAGCCGAAACTTTGCTTCGTGCACAGATTTATGTGAAATATTGTATAGACCAGGTATGTTGGCTCACGTGTGTAATTCCAACACAATGCAGTATTGGAGGCAGAGGCAGGAGGATTGCTTGACTCCAGTAGTTTAAAAAAAAAAAAAAAAAAAAAAAAAAAAAAACCCAGCCTGGGCAACATAGTGAGATCCTGTCTCTACAAAGACTTAAAAACTAGCCAGGCATGGTGGCATGCACCTACAGCCCTGTCTATTTGGGAGGCTGAAGCAGGAGGATCACTTAGGCCCAGCAGTTAAAGAATGCAGTGAGCTGTGATAGCACCACTGCACTCCAGCCTGGGCGACAGAGTGAGACACTGTTTCTAACAAAAAGTAAAATAAAATGTTGTATAAAATTACCTTCAGGCCATGTGCATCAGGTGTATATGAAACATATTTAAATGATTTCATGTTTAGAACTGGGTCTCATTTCTAAGGTATCTCTTTTAAAAAATTTTCCTTTATATTGCATGTTTTAAAAATAATTGAACATATTAAACAAATGTAAACTTGTTTCCTGCATTGTTTCTTGCTGCACAGGGTTTCTCAATATTTGGGATTTAAGAACTGGAAGGTACCCTGTTCATCGTTTTGAGCACGATGCAAGAATACAGGCACTAGCCCTCAGCCAGGACGATGCAGCTGTGGCCACGGCTTCTGCTTTTGACGTCGTGATGTTATTCCCCAATGAGGAGGGGTACTGGCAGGTAGCTGCGGAATTTGAAGTTCCGAAACTGGTGAGCTTTTTAGTCTGGTCATTTTATCTTCTATTCTTAGAATCTCTGGGTCTAATATAAGCATGTACTAATGGTGTTGGCAAACTCGCATTCACTCAGAGCTTCCTATGGGCCTTACATCTGTAAATCTAACTACAGCCTTACGAAGTGCGTAGTAGCATTTTCCCCTTTTGCCGAGAAGCCACTTGAGGCTTAGAGCAGTGAACTGACTTGCCCCAGGCCTCAGAGCTAAGAAGTTGTGATGCAAACCTCAGGGCTGACTTCAGGGCCAGAGCTGCTCATCACTGGTTCCTTGGCCTTCTTCAGACTAACACTGTGGAATCTCACCCTTGGGAATCAAAGATCAGTTTCTGACCTAATACATACGTGGGAATGAGTTCAGTGGTGTTACCCCAGTCCATATGGAAAGAAGGTTTCCATTCCTACACTTTCTTCATCCCAAGACTATCTTGCCTGAAGTTAAAAGTAACTTGAGTGAAGATAGATTCAAGTCGGTGTTAATTGGGTAGCCATGTTCCAGGATGTCAGGTGTGAAGCTCAGCCAGCCTTAAGAATTCTTTATGTCGAGCTTATTTCTGAGTTCAGTTGTACAGGAACCTCTGTATTTGTAGAGTGGGAGGTGATTTGGTGCTAGAAGGAAGTGCTCGAATCTGTCTCTTCTGAGTTTGGATTTAATTTAAACAAACTTGATTTTGGCACTGGTAGGGAAGTGAGCAGAAAAGCCAACACTGAGTGATGAATTGATGGCCTGACCTGGAACCAATCCCATTCCTCCCTATTATTTCCCTGGTGGAAATCTTCTTAGACTAGAATTAAACTTAAAAATCCATGGCATCACCACTTCACCTCTATGAGCCTCTGCAGTTTGGATATAGTGCTCCCCAAAATGGCCTGATGCTGTCATGTCATCTGGGTTTCATTAGAAAAAAAAAAATGTGAAAGTATATTTCTGTTCTTAAAACTTCCATAGTGCTTACTATTACAGCCCCCAGCAAATAGGGCCACCACTGTCAATCTGAGTCTCATGGTCTGTCAGAAAGCCAGCGTGGAGATACAGTTAAAGGGCTAGATGGAGGATGTCAGCTTTAGGAAAATAAGAAATGATTTGGGGGCATGAGAGGAAGCAAGCAGCCATTGTTTGAGGTGTGTTTTATGCATGTTTTAGGAATTATTTTTCACTTTGGGTGGAGGGTTGCCACAAAATGCTCTGAATATCCTTGGAAAAGTCACCCCTGGCCCGAAGAGCTGAGCTAGTGTTGTCCCTTCCATACATGCCCCTGGATGGTAGTGTTAAATGTTCCCAGGTCTGTGATATTAGCCTCGAGCAGCTGTCCTTCTTGGTGGACCAGCGGCTTGCAAAGCCGGCCCGAGGATTAGCAGAATCCCCCAGATGCTGATGCTCCCTCAGGCTCTTCTGGATGGTATTCCGGAGGCCAGCTTTGAACTCTTTGGCATACGATCAGGGCAGCGCTGTCCTTTCACACTGTGGATTTTCATAATTACACAATGTGGCTCACCTTCCACGTGTCCTCTTGTGATTTACTCACGGAGGCGACATTGTGTTGTGAACGGCACCATGGAGAAATTGGCCGCCTGTGGATGGACAGAATCAAATTATTCTTGAAAAGTACATTTCAGACTCATGCACATTAGAGAAAGTGCTGGTGGTGACACAGTCAGGACTGGGGAGGGGGATGAGTAGAAAAATGTGTGTACGTAGAGCCCTTCCTACCCTCTGGTGGCCAGGTGGACCCTGATGATATTGAAACCAGGAGAGAGCAGATAACTTGGATATTTTTAACCTTTTGGCCACACATTTTGGCACAAATGTTAAAATATTCTTTTTTTTGAGAATTTGGAACTGAGTGAATTTTATTTTATTTATTCTTGTAAAAAAAAAAAATCCCAACCTTTTATTTTTTGAATTGCTATTACATCCTCATGGTTCAGGATTTAAAAGACACAGTAAAGTTGACGGTGGGAAGTCTCCCCATCCCACAATCCACTGCCCTCCTTGAAGGCAGCCGTTGTTAGAAGATTTATGGATGTATGAGTCAAGCACATGGTCTGCTTTCTCCGCCCTGCCTTGTACACTCGTCAGCAGGTGGGCTGCCTTACTCATCTTGCTTCTCATCCCATTTGTTTCGTTTTATAAAGAATGTTTTCCTGCTTCCCTCTAGGACGGCATGATGTTCCAGTGTATAGATACACTAAGTTATTTAATTAGTCCCTTAGTAATGGGTGTTTCAGTTTTTCTAGTTTTTAGCTAAGACACAATTGTATTACAGTTCATGAATAACCTTGTACATAATCATTTTTTATACGTGTGAGTTTATTTGTAAGTAACTTCTAAAAGTGGATGTCCTGGCTCAGAGTGCATGCATACTTGACATTTTGATAAGAGTTTCCAAAGTTCCCTTGATGGAAATTGGACAAGATTATGTTCCCACCAGCAGTAAGTGGGATCCAGAAACATGATTTTCCCCTTTTTCACTTCCAGCCCAGGGTGTTAGCCGATTTCTTGATCTTTACGGAGATGAAAGTGGAAGCATCATATTTCAATGAATTTTCATTGTGTATTTTCTCTTTTTGGGGGTGTCTTGTGATTCTCTTACACTGAGCATCTTTCCAGTTGTGTAAGAGCTGTTTGTGTTTCATTTCCTGTGAGCGTTTCCTTTGCCCATCTTTTTCTGTTGGGTTGCTGGTCTTCTCATTGATGTGTAAGAGGAACTGCATATTTTTGACCAAGTCAGGATGAATTTGTGCGACTAAACAACTCTTACCTTTTGCCAGGTTCAGCACCTTGAAATAGTTCCAGAAGCCAGAAGGTACCCCGTGGCAATAGCCGCTGCTGGAGACCTGATGTACCTGCTTAAAGCCGAAGACTCCGCCAGAACCCTCCTTTACGCCCACGGCCCGCCTGTCACATGTCTAGATGTCTCGGCCAACCAAGTTGCTTTTGGTGTACAGGGTCTGGGATGGGTGTACGAAGGAAGCAAGGTACACAATTAGCAAAATGTATAATTAACAAAACACAGATTTATTTTTTAGAAGGGAATTGAAAAATTAAAGCTCTCTGATATTTTTCCAGATATGTTAGGGCAATATGTAAGCATGGTCAAAAAATTCAGAAACTTCAAAAGGATCACAGATGAAAAGCAATCATTTCCTTTCTCCCCTCTTCCCCCAGCTTCGCTGCATAGAAGAAACTATTAACAGTTTTTAGGTATCCATCTAGGAAAATTGAATGCATATATAGGTACATTTGTAGGCTAAGGACATATTGTTGTAGAGATGGGATCATAGTATATATACTGTTCTGAACCCAATCTTTTTCCTCAATAATATGCCTTGGAGAGAGTATTCCATGTCAGCTTTTACCAAGCTCTCCCTCCCTAGGATTCCGGCATATGCTACTAGTCCACAGCCTGTTTAGCCAGGCCTCTCACTGGCTAAACTTGCCAGTTTGCCCCTCACAGACTTTAGCTTGCTTTCACTGTTTTGGCTGCTATAAGCAATGCTACAATGCATATTGCAACTTGCAGAAGTTCTGGTATATATAGTGCATCTCCAGGATGTGTACTTGAGATAATGATGGACACCGCCAAATTGCCCTTTCTAAAAAGGTGCATGAGGATTGACTTTCTTACCAACAGTGCACAAAAGTGCCTTCTGATATTCTTTGAGCCAGAAGCAGGGAGACAGGTTTTTATTGGAAATTCTTTGAGTGATGACTAAATTTTATCACTCCCTAGCATCTTGCTATCCTGACTGTAGGCCAAATACTTAGTCTAAAAGCTGATTTATAGAACTCTCCCTACCAATGGGACCGGGGGAAGATAGAAAGTTTTCATTTCATTTTGTTTTTTTCCAATTTGCCTGCTCCCGACCCTTTCTGGCAGTTGGTGGGATTCCTGGGAAGGAACGTGTCTGGGCCAGCAGACCCTGTGTGACTGTTAGTAGGTTCCTTAACCCTCCTTCTACCTCAGTTTCCTCATTTGTAAAATGGAGTTCATAATATTGCCTGCTTCTTAGAGTTGTAGGATTAAATGAAGAGCTTGAGGCATGGTGCCTGGCACATGAGTGCTAACGATCTGTTAGCTCCTGAGCCTCCTGTTATCTCTCACCGCCCATAGTGTGATTCCGGTGCCTGGTACATGAGAGCTAATGACCTGTTAGCTCCTGAGCCTCTCGTTATTCCTACCACCCGTTGTTCGATTCCTGCCTCTGGTGGTGCCTGTTTTTACATCTTATTTCCTCCACATATGTGACCTGTAAGGTCAAATCTCATTTCTGCAGGTGTCATTGGCTTTGCAACCTAGCAAATTGTCAAGAATGAAAGCATGTTGGACCCCAATGATATATTCTTCATCCAGGAAGACAGATGAAGCAGTAGAAAATATGTGTGGCGCCCTGTAATCTCACCACGAAAAGGCGCTCCCTTTGTGCTGCAAACTTTGTGTGCAGTTGGGTTGGGGCATCTCCGTTGTGTCCGAGCTGGAAGGTGTGTCATGATATAACTCCTCAGTTTTGTCTTCCTAGGAAGTGGGGAGGGAGCAGGAATTGGTTTCCTAAGGCAGTTTCCTTTCTCATGCTCTGAAAAAACTTTAATTTTCCCATCCCTGGTGAGCTCATTTGTTGAGAGAGGAGAGACTGTTTGCTTTCTAATTTTCCATCTGGTATGCTTTCAAATTTTTGTTATCTCATTTATTTTTAGAGCTCTCAGTGTAGTGAGGTGATAGTTATAATCAGTACTAGTCTGGTTTAAATTTTTCATACTTTTTATAAATGTTTTATCTGGTAGGTTCTTTTTCTCTTTGACTTATCTGAATGGATTTATTCCTGTGGTGATACAGTTGTAAGGATACATTTGAGGAACTACTTAACGGGACAGTTTGGCCCAAGGCTCCTTCAGATACAGATATAAGGCAGCGGGGTTGTTCTGATTCCTCTCAAAATTTCCAACCCAACTGAAAGCATTAACTGTAAGAATCAGCTGATTAATAATTAATTTTGTGAAAATCCTTGATTAAAAAGGTATAGTCCCTGGCCGGACATGGTGGCTCACACCTATAATCCCAGCATTTTGGGAGGCCAAGTCAGGAGGATGGCTTGCGTCTGGGAGTTTGAGACCAGCCTGGGCAACATATCAAGACCCTGTCTCTACCAAAAGAAAAGAGAAAAGAAAAAGTGTGGTTTTAGCTGGTGTTCTCATTGGTGTTTTAAAATTAGGAGTGGAAATAAATTTGCTACAAGAATGTTTCTAAGTGTGTCTTTGGAGGCTGACAGTAGCATTTAGTCATCCAAATATTTTGTGAGCACAGCACCAGCCCTCCAAACACTCGTGTGGGTGAATGGCTGCTTGTTGGTAGTGCTGGTGGTGACTTTGTGTTGAGATGTTTCTCCAACAGGGATGCCACCCACTCAAAAGTTAAGAGGAACGCCAGGCTTCATCTGTGTAACTTTGCTTATTTTTACAGAGATGAGACTTTCCATCTGATTGTGCTTAATGGATTTTCTGCTTCCTCAGAAAAACTTGCATTTTTAAGAAACATAATTGTCATATAACAGCTCTGTGTGAATTAAGTCATGTCATGGGTGACTCTGTGAGGTTTTAGTATCATCCTGCTGTGCCATAATGTGATGTCGTAATTTCCAAGTAGCCTCACGTGCAAGGCTTGGTGTCACTCTGCTTGAGAATACCATGTTTTGGCCATGTCAGTGCTTCAGCCTGGTGGCAGCCTGTGTCCCAGCACGTTTTATTAGGCTGGTGTGAGACTATTAGCAGTGGAATTTGCCTGGAGCTATGTCCACACGAAGGTTTGTGTCTGTGCCTCTGGCCTGTATATCTAGGATTCAGCTGAAGGTTTTATGAGAGCAGAGTATTTGGTTTATATTTGTTTGTACCTGATACAAAACTGGGGTTTAGCTATAGTTCATTATTGATTAACTGTGTTAAAAGCAGAGAGTGAAGTCCAAATGTTGAAACTGACTTTGAGTCAGAAACTCCAAGCTCCCTAACCTGTTGAAGTATTCCAGAGGCATTATTTGGTTTAGTTGGAGAATATTCTCACACCGTATGATGCTTGCATTAGCATGTTATAGGCATCTCAGCTGCATGAGCATGGAGTAGTAATGGCTCAAATCCACCCATTCCTATATCTGGCTAGCCAGCCCATTGTGTATTCATCACAAATACTGAGCACCAGTAGTGTTCCTGGCATTGGGATGTTAAAACAGCATTACACACAGATTTCAGCAAACTGGTGCTTGTCAAGGAACCTAGCTCTGTTAATAAACATAGATTTCTAAGGAAACAAAGCTGAGTAATTTAGCAAAAGCTTATCTATTTAATCTTTAAAAAAAAAAAGCCTTCAAATGTAGCTGGCTGATCAGTCACCTCCAGCTCAGGTAGGAAGGGATCAGTCAGTGCCTGGCAACATCATGATTTGCCTGTGGCACAGGGGCTCCCAGACTTGGGTTTCAGACATCAGAGTTAGGGGCCACACCTGGGTTTGCCAGTGATGTTTTGGGCCACATAAAGACATAGAAAAAAATGGCAAATATGTATTTTTGCCCATTTTTGGAAGATCAGATAATTAAAATCTTTTTATTTCAGTAGCTTTAGTGGGGTAGAAATGGTTTTTGGTTACATGGATGAACTGTGTAGTGGTGAAGCTTGGGCTTTTAGTATACCTGTCACCTGAATAGTACACATTGCACCCAGTATCCTTCTGAGTCTCCAGTGTCCTCCAACACCATTCTATGCCTCTATACACCCATAGCTTAGCTTCCGCTTATAATTGAGACATGCAGTATTTAGTTTTCCATTCTTAAATTGCTTCACTTAGGTTAATGGTCTCCAGTTCCAAGTTGCTACAAAGGACATTATTTTATTCCTTTTTATGGTTATTATTCCATGATATGTATGTATGTGTGTGTGTGTGTGTGTGTGTGTGTATGTATATACACACATATGTACATACATATGCATACGTATATATACACATATACATATATGTGTGTATATATATACATAAATCACATTTTCTGTATCCACTCATTGGTTGATGGGCACTGAGGTTGGTTCCATATCTTTGCAATTGTGATTTGTGCTGCAATAAACATATGAGTGCAGGTGTCTTTTTTATATAATGACTTGTTTTCCTTTGGGTAGATAACCAGTAGTAGGATTGCTCTGTCGAACGGCAGATCTCCTTTTAGTTATCTGAGAAATCTCCATACTGTTTTCCATAGAGATTGTACTAATTTACATGCCTACCAGCAGTGTATAAGCATTCCCTTTTCACCACATCCACACTGTTGGTTTTGTTTGTTTGTTTGTTTGAGACAGAGTCTTGCCCTGTCACCTAGGCTGGAATGCAGTGGTGCGATCTCAGCTCACTGCAACCTCTGCCACCTGGGTTCAAGAGATTCTCCTGCCTCAGCCTCCCAAGTAGCTGGGCTTACAGGCGCGTGCCACCACACCCAGCTAATTTTTATATTTTTAGTAGAAAAGGGGTTTCACCATGTTGGCCAGGCTGGTCTCAAACTCCTGACCTCATGATCTGCCCGCCTTGGCCTCCCAAAGTGCTGGAACTACAGGCATGAGCCACCTCACCTGGCCTGTTTTTTTGACTTTTTAATAATGGCCTTTCTGGCTGGGATAAGGTGGCATCTCATTGTGGTTTTAATTTGCATTTCCCTGAAGATTAGTGATGTTGAGCATTGTCTCTTATGTTTGTTGGCAATTTGTATATATTCTTTTGAGAAATATCTGTTCATGTCATTTGCTCTCTTTTTAATGGGATTATTTGTTTTGGTGTTATTTTTCCTGCTGATTTGTTTGAGTTCCTAGTATATTCTGGATATTAGTCCTTTGTTGGATATATAGTTTGCAAATATTTTCTCCTGTTGTGTGGATTGTCTGTTTACTCTGTTGATTATTTCTTTTGCTGTGCAGAAGCTTTTTAGTTTAATTAGGTGCCATTTATTTGTTT